TTCGTTTGTCTCTTGTTAATTAGCGCGTAAGTTAAGCACTTTACAATTTGTATACAAAGTTTATACCCTGCACATTGTTATTATTTTCCGAATTAAAATCAATATGAACGACAGCAACGTGTTATTTTAAACTATGATGTTTTTATTTAATTCTAACAAAATGGTTTTTGAATTAACATTAAGTAACATCAATTTTTATCATTTTATTCGACCTCTTAAATGGTGAGTATGGCTCCCTTTTTCAGAATTTAGATAATAACTAAAATAAAAAAAAAATATTTTTTATTTGCACACTAATAGCGTTCTACATTTTTGTTTGCTGTGCATTCCACAATTCTTGGGCTGACGTAGCTGAAATTGAAATTGCCCATGCGAGGCAGACAATTGACAACGCGCGGCAGCCCGAAATTATTCATCACGCTGTGCGTCTCTAATATTTATTTAAAATTTTACTTTGATTAAAATGCGCGTGCCAAGTAGTTCCCAGGGAGTCAACAAAAGGCAGCCGCGAAAAAAAATGCAGAATGTTAATCCAGAACCTAGATGAATTAAACACAAGCAAGAATAGGGCTTGAAATGGAAGTGGAGGTGGAAGTGGAAGTAGAGAAAAGAGCCTGAACGTTTTGTAATTAAAACTTGCCGGGCGCACTTGCACAAGTTGATTATGAGTCCATTATTCCCTGGCCGTGGTAGTGCCAGTAGTACCCCCTTTTTGCCATTCTCCTACGGCAACAAAAAATGCTGTCAAAATCATAATCTGCGGCCAGGGTCCGGGCACAAAAGAACGCCGTACACATGGCCGTTGACAGTTTTCGACGCTCCAGCTTCAGCTTCCGCTTCAGCTCCAGCTACTGAATGCCAGCTACCAGCCAGCATCATACCTCTTTGGTTGGCCGGATTATGGATGCAGCCTTCAAAGCTTTTGGTGATGCGGATATTAGCGCATGATTGGAAGCCGCTAACCGACATTGCAGGCAGGTTCTTTGTGCAGCCAATTAACAAAATCCCGATTGGGAGAACCCCTATGCTGGTATCCAGAACCAAACAGAAAAAAAAATTCAAGGAGGCGCCGGTTGAAGTGCCAATCAAATTTTGGGACTTCCATTATCTTTCCTGATGAATTTCGTAGCCCTTTTGTTGGCTTGATTAAATTACTTTTCATTATTTGCCAAATAAAAGCCAGCAAAAAAAAATGGATGGTGGCAGGGACAACGGCTTGCTTACACATTTAATAAGTTTATTAAAAGGCACAACAAAAATAAAAAAAATAAGAAGAAGCCGGAAACGGCAAAAGGCAAAAGCGGGTTATTATGGCAACAAGAGCGAGCAAAATCTTATCTAACAAGGGGGTAGCCAGTACCTTTTTTATTGCCCTCCCCTTTTGCACCAGGCACCTGGGCAAAAGTTGCGCGACATAATTGCTGATTTAAGGTGCTAACCTTTTCCCCACCACCCCCAACTTATATTCCCCTTTGGATCCTTTGGATCCTTTGGGCCTGCCAGCCATTCAGGCAAACACATTGCTTACATATTTCACTTTCTGAGCGCACGCCAAGAATGCCAGCAACTTTGAGTTGTGCAAACAAAGCCAACGGCTTGGCTATAGCCCCCGCTGAAAACCCAGTACTTCCTATATCCCCGCCACTCAGAGCGTGTGTCATTCGTGCGGTAACCTCGGTTCTGTTTTAAGCCCAAGCTATGTCCGTTGCAGGGAGATGCGAGATATGAAAGGCCAGATTGCAACAGAAAATCTACAACACCCTCGCTCTACTGTACTGTGAAAAACGGTTAAGAATAATAAATTTAAAAATGTCTGCATTTGTAGCAAAATAAAGTATTATTAGAAAATTATTCTAAAGTAGTAGAAGGGATCCCCGAATACCAACTTGGGAATTATATTGATATTTATAAGGTCGTTTGTGTTAGTTTCCGGGATATATTATATAATTCAATCATATCATTCTTAACTTAAAGAAAAGTCTTCTGAATTTGTTTGCTACAGAGTAAAATTAACGTAAAATATTCCAAGTTATGTCCCGCCATCATTTTATTTGCAAGCGAATTAATATGCAAATGGGAATTTTAACGGAAATTATATGTTTGGAATTAGGAATAAATTTTCAAAAATGGTCTAAAATAGCTTTTGAAAGATATTAAATGGGTTAGTCTTTAAAATCAAATCAAAGCCAAATAATTTACAAATATTTACACCCATCGATAATGTTTTATCCTCTTTGAATGACAGCTTGTTGTTTTCCCAGTGTAGTCAGCACAAAGTTTCCATGGCAACCGGATACTGTGTCCGAGTCCCCAGCACCACCACTTCCACCACCGCGTCAGATCAAAGCTTTGATCTTACAGCTTTCTGCTGCCTTCTGTTTTTGTTGTGCGGTCAACTCCGAAGTCCAGGACTTCCAGGAACAGGAGCAGGAAAAGCGTCGTTCAACCCGGTGGTGGTCAACTAGACAAAGGCTTAAGGTCCTTAAGCGGGATTATTACTTCACGTGTTGTGTGGCGAGAATGCTTCTGTGCCACAGAGAGTTGGTAAAAGGTTATAACGACTTACTAAGAGAGAGAACCACGGAGCTTGGGGGTAGTGCAGTTACAGCTTTGTTTACCATCGGGACACAACAGAACACTTATCGAATAAAAGTCAATAAAGCACCTATTTGTTATTGAATGGTGTTTTATATAACGTGAAACAATAATGTTCTCATAAAGAGTAATCGTGTAATAACTTGTCAGGAAAGTTAGACATTAGAATAATAAATTTAGTTAAAGAACCTTGAAAACGATAAATAAAATGGTATATAACTGCTTCTACCATTCAGTAAATTAAAAAAAAAAATACTGGTTAATTGTAATAAATCACAGAGCCAAATAACCTATAAAATATTGCATATTAATTTTCAAAAAGACATTTACTGTTCATAACAGTTGCATTATGTCAAACAAGCCCCCGATTAAAATAATCTCTCTAACAATAAACAGCACTTACAACTGTTTCAAAATTCCGTAATCACCACTGTTAAGTACTGCTAATTGTAATGCCTTTTGGTAACCTTTGTGGGGGCTCAACCCATTTCAAGATTTGAACACTTTTTGGTAAGAATTTCACGCAATCAAAGCGCTTAATCCGCACCCACTTTCACAGGATAGCCTCCAATTAGCATAGAAATTGGGACTGCTCGTTGATTTGGGTTTGGTAATGGGTTTCGTTGAGGGTTTGGTTACGGGTTTCCGATGCAAAAAAACCAGGGGCAACAAAGTCTGACAGCTGTCAAATGGGTATTTTCGCATGTGCTGATGGACTAAGGAAGCAACCCTACTTCTTTCAACTAAATCAGTCGACAGGATTTCTTAGCTGTGGCAATGTTTTGGGAATTAAATGAAAACAAATTGTCTCAACTAATTCAATTTCCATTCAGTCAAAGTGCCAGCGGACGTGCCGAGCTGCAAAGATGCAAGGATGCAATAGTTGCAAGGAAGCAACAGCGGATAACTCGATTGTCCTTGCGAAATTTGCCTGCCAAAGAGCAGGCCGCTTCACAGGTTTGCCCTATCGATTTGTTCGAAATTATATTTGAAAAGTTGCAAAACTCAATTTCGCCCAGCCGCTTTATGCCCTCACCTTGTTTTCCCAGCCTCGCGCACTCTAAAAATAAACAAACAACGATGAGGACAACTTTGGTGGATTCCTTGGACCAAATGCAACAGTCAAGAAGTTGAGCAGCCTCTGGCCTGCGAGTGACCCCAGTGGAGGAAAGTTTGCCCTGCCAGTGAATACGAGCATTTAGGTTTAAATAACATCAAGTTAACTGTGGGGCTTTGTTGTTCGACTTTGCGATACGCTTAGAAAGTATAACTTAATAAAAACACGAAAATGTTTTACATTTCTGCCATAGTTTAATTATTGTCTTCAAATCTAGTTTAGTAAATTTTCATTAATTCATAATCGCAGAACAATGTGAATAATTTAAATTAAGAATTTAATTTGATGAACATTTGAGAAGGCAAGTTAGGTAACTAATGAATAAATGGATACAATTTTCTAATATTGTTGCCCATGGATAAGAACACAGAGACTTGAATATATATTTTAACCTTCCATCTAATGCTAAAATAGCTTTTCTAACTAAGAGTTTTTCAAATGTCAGTGAAAATAGAAGACCCACAATTAAGGTATAAAAAGGTCAAGAAAATCACTGAATACAAGAGATGGAAAAATGGAAAAGGCAACGACGAAGGAAGCTCAAGTGGCAGAGGCATAAGCAAATCATGCCGTAACATAATGAGGCAGCATAACGGAGTGGCACAGGACAAGGGAAGGACCAGGGGCAGGAAGCAACTGCCACAAGCAAATTGCATCGCCAGTCGCCGGTTGCCAGTTAACGGTTGCAAAATTAGTTTAAACTTGGCGGATGCAAGGAAGTCCACCAGGACCACACAGAAAGAAAGACTATAAATAACTTAAAGGTTGTTCAATTATTTAATGCGTACTTTAGGAGTGATGCAAGACAAGACAAGTCCCTAAAACTTTTATTTGATAACAGAAGTCTTTTGGACTCCCTTGTTTGAGGTTTCAAAAATCTCCTGATTTTTGTATGACCTCTCATAGAAATGATCTAAAAATTAATATGAAAAAGGTAATCTTTTAACCAGAAACTAATGTTACTAACATAATTTATATATAATTGAAATTTTAACGAATACATCCAAACATGTGACTTTTATTTATAGAGAAAAGGTTACATTTCAAAATGCTATATTAGTCATAGCTTAATAACTTAAATAAGAATGCCTAAATTATGGGACACGACAAACAAATATTCGATACAAAAATATTTGGCTTAGCAATTTTTTTAGTTCACTTTAAGATTAAATAAATTGTATTTAGCATATGGGCTATATTTTCTTGTTATTGATTATATTTCAAAATTCTTTATAATTTTTTCTCAGTGCTAAATACAACTACAGCAAGCTTTTGTTTCCTCTTGCAGATGCTGCACCTGACCGGAGACAAGTCCTGGCATTCCGTGGAGGCAATGTAAGCATTCCGGGACATCCGTTGACGGCAGCACATTAAGGAGGACCAACTTGAAATTACCATAAAGACCGCAGAGGTCGAGGAGTGCGGGGCAGCGGGTGAAGGGCAGAGGGCAGAGGGCAGAGGGCTGATCGGGGTGTAGCGGGGTGACGAGGGGAGAGCGGTAAGAGATGCGGTCGCTTAACAAGTCGGCGGGCGAGGAGGAGCTGACTGGCCTCAATGGCAACTCCAGCGACTCCATCTATACCATCAAGAGCAAGTGGATCACCGACTGGTAAGTGAGCTTAATAGAATGAAGGCGCCTTTAAAATTTTTAATTTTCTTTTAAAAAGAAAACACTACAAAAATATTTACTTCGTTGTTAAGAAAATATAAAAATTCAAATCAAAAAACTTTAAAATACATAACAACATTTAAAAGTTGTTATAGAAAAAGCTTAAATAGACTTGATTCGATCTTAAAATGAAGATTATTTTTAAAAACTATAAAAAACTATCTTGAAAATAAACTACAGACAATATTTAAATAAATAGTAATTCAATACAAGACAACCGAAGAGTCTAAATAATATAAATTAATATAATACTCATCCTATTGAGCAATTTTTTTTTAAATTCATGCTACAATAGTTTTTTTTTGTGTTTACTAATGCTTTATATATATTTTCCTATTTCAGGAGCCTCAGAAGGGAGCGAGATAAGCTTTGCAGTGTCATTTTTAAGCGAGTCCTGACCCACACAGAGTGTAAACGACTCCTGGAGGCGGCGAAGATCTATGGCGAGAGTAGTGACTTTAGTTCCTGGTCGGTCAATGATCAGCTGCAATGGTACCGCACCTTCGATGTGAACAACACAAACCTTCTGTTGGGTCTGAGAAATCAATCCTCGGAGGGCGGCGGTTCCACCATGTCGGGATCCAATTCCGACTCGGAGATCCTTGGTCCGGTTCTGCCGCCCTTCGCCTTGTGGCAGACAATCCTGATCGCCATTTGCCTGGCCATCTGCATCATTTTGACGGTGGGCGGTAATATCCTGGTGCTTCTGGCCTTCATCGTGGACAGGAATATCAGGCAACCAAGTAATTACTTTATTGCTTCGCTGGCAGCCACGGACATGCTGATAGGTGAGCACTGTCAATATATTTCCTAATCAGTTTAGTTATAAGTGCCAAATTGCTAACATCCTTTAACTTATGAGAATGCCACAGAAACCATTAGCGCACTAAAATCACTTATAGAACAGTGTAAACTATATATTTTAAATTGGGTAAAACTTTTAAAGCTAAGTATAACTAATTGATGGCATGGAATCAGTCTGTAACCTAGTTTTATTCACCTTTTAAAACTATATGAAATCAATAAGTTAGTTATGATTATAATTATTCCTTATCCCTTAATTTTTTCAGGAACCGTTTCGATGCCTTTCTACACGATATACGTGCTGAAGGGCTACTGGGACCTGGGTCCGATGCTCTGTGATCTGTGGCTCTCGGTGGACTATACGGTCTGCCTGGTGTCCCAATACACGGTGCTGTTGATCACCATTGATCGCTATTGTTCGGTGAAGATTGCGGCCAAGTACCGGAGTTGGAGGACGCGAACGCGGGTGATCTACATGGTGACGATCACGTGGATCATTCCCGCCCTGCTCTTCTTCATCTCGATCTTTGGCTGGGAGCACTTCACCGGGAAAAGGGACCTTCTGCCGGGTCAGTGTGCCGTGCAGTTTCTCAAGGATCCGATCTTCAACACCGCTCTGATTATTGGCTACTATTGGACCACGCTGATCGTGCTGTTTGTGCTGTATGCCGGGATTTATAAGACAGCCTATGACATGCAGAAGCGCAGTGAGGCCAAGCAGCGGAAAATGCAATCCATGGTGGCACTGAGTGCCGGAGCCATGTCCGGAATGGCAGGACATGCGGCGGGAATCGGAGTGATCGAGGAGAAGATCCTGAAGACGAAGGTGGAACTGGCGGGGGATCAAACCGATTTGGACAGTGCCTGCACCACTGCGATCAAGCGATTGAGTGGTTCGGGCCAGGCGAATCCCTTGGCCACGGCCACCGAGGAAGTGGAGAAGATGACCCCCGAGCAGCGGAGGGCTTCGGCTGCCAAGATCCAGGAGGAGGCGAAGAAGCGGGAGGCAGCCGTGGATGCGGAGAAAAGCGAGCGGTCCAGCAGTCCGGCCTTCGATTCGGACGAGGAGTCGTCCGTCAACCAGGCCCAGCAGCTGATCACCCAGCAGAAGCTGAACAACATGCGCAAGCGATCCTCGATTGGCCTGGTCTTTGGGGCACAGGCCGCCCTGCTGGCCACCCGCAGCAAAGGTAACTTGCAGAAGAGCACCACCAACTCCAAGTCCATCGAGGCCATGCACCAGTACCACCATCATCATCACCATCAACACCAACACCAGCACCAACTCCAAAACCAGAGTCCATTGCAGCGGGCGCAGAGCAAGGAAGAGGTGCGCACCCTGCACCAGCAGAACCAGTACCAGAACCAGAACCAGTTCCAGAACCAGAACCAGAATCAGCAGCATTTGCACCAGCCCAAACGCACCTCCTGCTCCACCCTCTCCCAGATAGCCGAGCATGATCGTCTGGTTGACCTGTCGTCGGCCCCTCCCATCGACCACAATGATCCCTTGTCTCCCGTGGACTTGGCGCCCATCGAGGTGCCCAGCGAGGAAGTGCATCAGGGTCTGGTGCAGACCATATTGCCACCACCAGACGCCTTCCAGTGCCCCACCCCGCTGTCCGAGGACTACTCGGATCGTCCCTTTGGCAACAGCTCGGGGAACAGCGAACTGGCCCTGACCTATGACCTGATGACCAACTCGGAGCTGCGGTACATGGATGAAAGCTCCGCCATGATGGCGGTTACCACATCCCCGAACAGCAGTGTCCAGGGGAAACCAATCCTGCCTCCACCACCGCCCGCACGCCGTAATCCACCCAAGACGAACCTCAATCAAGCCTTGAGTCAAACCCCCAGCCAAACCAGCCAAACCAGCCAAAACCAGAGTCCCAGCCAAAGCTTGAGCCTCAACCTGAATCCGAATCACAACCAGAATCAGAATCAGATCCAGAACCAGAATCAGAACCAGAGTCAAAGTCAAAGTCAGAGTCTGGAGGAGGCTTCGGTGGCCATTGAAAGACGTCTTCTCGTTTCGTACACAGGCATCGAGGACTTTGCCAAGGTGAGAAGAGAGAGCTGCATCGAGGCCATCTGCCTGCTGGATGTGCCTGGTAAGGTCACAGCCGATTGTCCCCATCGCAGGGCCTCCAGTCCCATGGAGACGAGCAGCAAGGATGCCATACTCTACTCCCCCATGCCACCCAAGCCACTTTCTCCCAAGGTCACGACTCAAACGCCACCACCACCACCGCCACCAGCATTGCAGCTGCCACTGGAGCGGATCGATGAACGGGAAACCTCGGATAGTAATACCAACAAGATGCCCTCTACCTCGGGCACCACCAGCAGTACGGCTGGAGGTGGTGCGGGCGGAGAAGTAACTACCAAAAAGGATGCCCAGGAGGAGGATCCGAACAGAGAGGACAAAGGCTTAGCCGCCAGTCGAAACTCCAGCAAGCGGGCCTTCATCCATTCCATAGGCAAGCACTTTAAGAGCAAGAAGGCTCTACCCCTAATCCTCGGAGTGGGCGGCAGGCAAAAGTCCAAGTCCGAGAATCGTGCCCGCAAAGCGTTCCGCACGATCTCCTTCATATTGGGCTGCTTCGTGGCCTGCTGGACACCCTACCATGTGCTGGCCCTCGTCGAGGGATTCTGCCGGCATCCGCCGTGCATCAATGAGCACCTGTACATGTTCTCGTACTTCCTCTGCTATGCCAACAGCCCCATGAACCCCTTCTGCTATGCCCTGGCCAACCAGCAGTTCAAGAAGACCTTTACGCGCATCCTCAAGGGGGATCTGCACATGACCTAAAGTGGGTAATTCGGCGATCCATAAGTGGGTTTAGTTGGTGGTTGAGTTAATGGACTTCCACTTGGCATTGCACTTTCCCACCGGGCACCAGGCACTTGTGAGCCCCGAGAGCCTGGCGCCTTCAAAAGTCCCTAGAAAATACAAAATCCAAACCCATAACCTCCCTAGGCCCTTAAGTTGTCTATACATATATATATATATATATATATAAACCCCATTGAAAGTGCTCCGCTAAATGGAATAACCCTGGGATCTCAGCCACCAAACACTTATTAAATTCAAAATTTAATTTGTTGGAAGGCAAAAAGTATCTTTAAGTAGCCAAAGGTGTGTGCAATAGTTAGAATCGTTTGGGGGGGAAAAAAAAACTATATAGTTTGGGATGCATCTAGGTCTAGAGAGGCGCTCAGCGGGGCGAAATGTTTTAGACAATAAATATTTTAATGTTATGATAACCTATCTATGATAACCAGGCAAAATATATAATATGATAGTGAATAATATACCATAAAATAAAGTAAGCTAAGAAAATATACACATTACACGAGACTAAAATCCCCTGAAACCATAACACTCATACATATCCCTTTTCTTGTTCCGCTGACTATATCAATGGTAACCAAACATATGGATGGGTTATACCATAAAAACCAAAGAAAAACACGTTAGGCCCTTTAAGGGAACTGGAACTTGAAACCCCTACAATGGTAACACTTCGTGGGAAACCATGCAAAAATGTACCTAAAATTTTGTTTAGAGCATCTTAAGATACTATTACTTTGCCAGTTGTCTTTTTTGGTAGATTATAGAATTTAGAAAATCAACAAAATATATAAAAACTGTGTTCAACTGTTTCCCCGAATTGTTGCCGCCTTGGGTTTTAGCAGTTCCATGCAAATCCTGCATCAGATATACGATTTTAGAAATACAAAAGAACCCCCAGCAAACATACCCACGTAATTGTCTATGGACAATGTATGCCAAGACAAGTTCAACCGATTTTGTGTGAATATTCATGAGTGTAGAACATACAAAAGTACATACAATATAGCTACATAGATGTCAATTTTTGCGCGAGCCAGCAAACATACTTATATGAATATATAGACGTCTCCTTCGCGCCTTTGCCAAGTTGCCTAACTGAGTTCACACTCTCGTTCTGACACTCTCTGTTTTCGGTTGATGTTGAAGTACTCTGTTACTCTGTAATTTGTTAACCGTTTTGTTAACCGATTCGATTCGTTTTCCAGTGAGTAATGTGCTAAACAAGTTTTTGCCTTTGTTGAACGTTTCTTTTTAGCACGTAAGTGATAAGTGTAACAATAACTAAAATTATTACTAAATAAATACATGAATGAATAATGACTGCGTTTGAGACAAAGGGAAATGGGCTGATCCTATTTTTGGCATCTGTTTGCTTCAATTACATTTTTTGTTCAATTAAAATCAGGAAGCAAATATTCCGGATTTAAATTGGACCATAACGACTGAATTTCTTTTCAAATCCATTTTAATTTATTTGATGTATGGTTAATCCTTAATTTGAGTTGCATTATTCCTAAACACTTATGTTTTTGGGCATGCCAAAATTTATTTTTATATATTTTTTTAAAAACATATAGAGTATGTTTATTTAAAAGGGAATATAAAAGGAACTAAACCTATTTTATATTCTGAAGTTTTATTTTATTTTATTGTGAGTGTATATATTGTAGAAACTATATTTTTCATATCAATCTAAGGAAAAAGGTGTTTTGGGAAACGCCTTTCTTTAACTTTCGAAACCATCTTAATGTAAACCAGAACAACCGAGGTTTCTTTAGTGTTGGGAAATACGTGCGCTGCAGCTAACTTTGAAATTAAAATCAAATTCAAATTAAAAAACAAGGGAAAATAAGTGCGAGTGTCGGTCGGCACGCGTAGTCCGCGATCCGCAGTCGAAGTGCTCGGTGGTGTTCCAGGTGCAGTTCCAGTTCCCGATTCCCAATCCCGCTAAGCTAACCCACTTCCGCTGCGGTCTGCTCAAAGTCCACCGATTTGAATACGATCACCTTTTTTGGTGACCCCAACGACGCCTGCTCGAAATGGAGATATTCCTACGCCTGATGGCCTTTGTGCTGAATGCCTTTGGCATGCTGGTGAACAAGATACTGGACCTAGTGCTGCCCCGCCAGAAGCCCAAATATCCGGGCATACGCAATCCCCTGCTCAAGAAGTCCGTCGTCGAACTGGTCACCCAACTGCGACGCGGTGAGGTGAGTCTCCAAGTCCAATTACGTCATTCGAGCTGCGGCATTTGCAAGTCATTTGTGTGGGGTTCGGTTTGTAGATCACCTCGGTGGAGTTGGTTAGCGCCTATATTGCGCGTGTCCAGGAGGTGAATCCCTCGCTGAACGCCGTCGTCGAGGATCGCTTCGAGGCGGCCCTGCAGGATGCCAGATTGGCGGACCAGTTCATCGCCAAGGCCAGCTCGGAGTTCGACCGCGTGGCCCTGTACACCAAGTATCCCATTCTGGGCATACCCTTCACAGTCAAGGAATCGTGCGGCCTTAAAGGTAATCCTTAGTCCTCTATTTCTAGAAATATACAAAAAAAATTTTAGTTTTTTAATATTAGTAGCACCAGTAATATATTTATTTTAAAAATTAAAATGTTTACAGATGTATTACAGATACGGCTTAAAAAAGATTTTTTAAATAAATTAGGGACTACATTAGTTTGAGATTAAAGTTTTGAAATAAACTATTAAATATACACAGACAATTTTTTTTCTTATTGAATATTTTATCCAAGTCTTAAATCATGTTAATAATTTCAATACAAATTAAATTTCCTAATTTTGTATTAAAATAATATATTGGATATAAATTTGATTTAATATATTTTATAGGCATTATATTTAAGTTTAACTGGGTTTAAATTCAAATTAAATATTTGAGATATTCGAACTTAAAACCACCTCTCTCATTTCAAATTCCTATTTAAATAGCCTAATTTTATTTGGATTTTTTAATTTTATAATTGCTCTACAGGATTATCTTTTGCGGTGGGCAGTCTGGCTCGAAAGAACATGAAAGCAGCTCAGGATGGCGACGTTGTGGAACTGGTCCGAGCTGCCGGTGGCATACCCCTCCTGGTATCGGCAAATCCCGAGTTTTGTATGAGTTTCGAGACGAGCAACAATATCCAGGGGTGCTGCCTGAATCCGTACGATTTAAGGCGCACTTCCGCCGGATCTTCCGGTGGTGAGGGATCCTTGAATGGATGTGGAGCAACCACCTTTGGAGTGGGTTCCGATATCAGTGGATCCATTCGCCTGCCTGCCCTCTTCTGCGGCGTATTCGGACACAAGCCCACTGGCGGACTGACCTCGGTCAAAGGTCACTTTCCATACTCACTGACGGACAAGAAGTTCCCCAAAATGCTGCAGATCGGTCCGATCACGAGATTCGCCAGGGATTTACCTCTGCTATTGGAAATCATGGCAGGCGATAATAAGCACAAGCTGAAAATGGATGAGCCTGTGGCCCTCAAGGATATGAAGGTGGAAGATCTACTAATATTACAAAAATATATTTTATAAGCAACTTATTTCTTGCTTAGGTATTCTATGCCTTTGGCTACTCGGGTCTGAACTGCCTTACTCATCCCGTGGTGGACTTCGATATCAAGCTGGCCATCACCAAGGCCGTCAAGTGTTTGGAAAGAGGGGGAGTGCAGTCCAAGAAGGTACCTAATATTATTTCCTCCACAAAAACTTATTGTACAAATTATTTTTAATTTAGTTGGACCTCAAGTTCCTGTCCAATTCTTTGGAGATTGGTCTGGTCTCCCTGGTGGACCTGAAGGGTCTGCCCAGCATTGTGACCCAGCGGCCTGATCGAGATCCCTCCATGCGACTGCTGATGGTGGAGCTATTCAACAGTATCATAGGCCACTCAATCTTCACCAAAGAGGCCATGTTTCTGGAGGTGATGAAGCGTTTCAATGGCCTAATGGCATCTGGCAATATGGAGGAATACCGGGAAGATGTCCAGAAGATTAAGAGCCACTTAAATGTGAGTAAATAAGTATGCAGTAAGCTAAAACACATTTGACATTTTTTACAACACTGATAGTAAAATCGAATTTGGATATTAAATCCAAAATTGTATCATATACTCTTATTTTTCTATGAAATACAATTCATTTTATATTGGAATACTAACTATATTTTAGTTTTAATTCTTTTATAGTAAATATAATTCCGAAAATATTCAAATTAATAATTAATTAATAATTACTTAAAACTGCAAAAAGCGAATAATATTTTAATTAGGTACAAAATATTTGTAATAACTACGTTTATACATTTTGAAAGCTAAATCAAAAATTTTTCTGTAATACCCGACAGCAACTACTTGGCACCCGAGGGGTCCTCATCCTGCCCACCTTCCATACCAGCGCCCTCTGCTTCCACACCTCGCTGGTGAATGTGACGGGGATCGACAACATGCTGCTCTTCAACGTCCTTGGTCTGCCCGCCACCCATGTGCCCATGGGCACCAACCAGCGGGGAATGCCCATTGGAATCCAGGTGGTGGCCGCCCAATACCAGGACAAGCTCTGCCTGAAGGTCGCCGCCGAACTGGAGGCCGTTTTCCACGGTTGGGTGCCACCGGTGCCACATGCCACCGACATCAAGTGAATCTTCCCCGGTCATCTAACTAGTTAAGGTTCAAGGTTAAATTTAACAGAAAGTTGTAGTTATTGTGAAGATTAAAGTGCAATTCGTTTGATTCATGTAAATCGAATTGATCGGAATTTATATCGGAGTCGTTTTCTTGTGCGGAAAATATTTTAATACTTTCTAGTAGCTTTAAAATTAGCTCACAAGTGATTTTTAAGGCACCTTAAAAACTGCATTATGTATCGAAAATTCTGATAAAAATAGCACTAGTTTAATACATTTGGAAGTCAAACTTTTTTAATTAAAAATTTCTTAGTGTTGAAAAGCGGCGCAGTATCATTTTAATCATTAAATGCTTTAAAATGTAACTTTGCAGTTATCTTGACTCATTTTAAGCAGCTGGCCACTCTAGAACTTTGATTAATTGTCTCAAAAAAAAAGCGGCGTGCAAGTTTTAACTGAGAAGATTTTCATTCAATTTATAAAAATGGGTAATAGGTTTACTAGCATGTTTGGAAATCGAAATGTAAGTACTAAAAAGATTTAACTATACGCAGTTAATTGAGTTTCAACTTGCAGGCGAATGATTCCAACCAGTTGTACTTAGAAGTGCATGTGAGTTTTTTTTTAGGACTTTTTTAGCAATTCCTTTAATGTGTTACTACTTTTAGAATGGCCGCATAATCTGTCGACGAGTGACAATTATCGATCATCATAGTGATTTGGTACATCGTCAATATGAAAATTTGTATCTTTCTGGGAACACCTATTTGCGTGGTCGTGTTCGTGGTCTTCGAAATGGGCCTCGTCGAGGTGTTAATGGTACCTATGCCCGTAGCCTTGGCAGGAGCCATGTACGCAATGGCATTCAGAGATCTAACCCATGTCGGGCCGCTGTTTTAGCTCCCGCACCCGTACTGCGGATGCAAGATGGCATCGAATTCGGACTGGATTCCAATGAGCAGGGAGGAAATTCATCCAATGGTCGTCGCAATCAGCAGGCAGGAAATTCATCCAATGGTCGTCGCAATCAGCAGGAAAGAAATTTGTCCAATATGCTCTACCGAGCCCGTCGCGAAGATCTTCAAGAGGTTTACATTGAGGTGCTGTCTGCATCGGATGAGGAATTCGAAGACGCCCAGGCACCTTCCTAAAACCATAAACCAGGATTTCTAAACTCCAGACGAATTCGGAATGGAGTAAAAATTAGAAATCTAAATAACTTTAAAATATGGAATGAGTCTCTGAAGTGCCATTTTCGAATTCAATTAAAGAATTACAATTTGTAACGCATACCACACTAGTTTTTCTGAGTGCCCTTGCGCCACATTTGAATTAGTTTAAATATTTCTAAGTTTTGAATTCAACGGTTCTGTATAAATAATGCAGCGCCAAATTTGAAACGGTTATACTGTAACTGTGTGCGTTTCTGATGGCTAGCTTGGAATACACTCTCCCGTTCTCTTTTCCGTTATGTTTTCGTTTACTACTTAACGCTCTCGATTTCCAGCTTATCACCACCTCCCCCATTTAAATAGTCTCCGGTTCTCCACTCTCTCCCCAAAGCGACTGACTCGAATGTTTTGTGCAATCTCTTCCATTCATTCTCTTCTCGGACGTCGTCTCAATCGGTTATTGCGCGCAATGGAAATATTTCTACGAATTATTGTGATTTTCGTTAAGGCATTTGCTTTAATCATCTCGCCTCTACTGGAAGCATTTGTTTATCCTAGAAAGTCCAAGAGTACACTCATACCGCCAATCAGGAACCGCCTGCTCACTCTCAGCATTCAGGAGCTGCGCAGTCGCCTTCGATCTCGCCAGGTAAGAAACGAGTACAGTGGGCAAAATTAGTTTTGCACTGAAATTTCATATAAAATGTTAGTAAACGAATTAAAATATTTGTATATAATTTTATAATATATATATTTGAATATATCTATTTTTATAAGACCATCAACAATTTTGTTTTAAAAAAATCAAAACAGTATTTTAATTATTGAAAATAAGCTTTATTACTCACAGCCTGAGTAATACTATTTAATAATATTATCTTCATTTACAGCATAGGCTTTAAAAATAAACTGGCTTAATTTTTAAGGGCTTTGTAATTATAAGCCAGTAAACGAAGTTACTTAAAATATACTGTAAAGTTTTAACTCATTTGAATGACATTTTTGCTTATCGCAAAAGTAAAGTTCAAAATGATAAGCCAGCCAGCCCTATCGTTTAAAACAGGGACCGTAATCATTATAAGTTCTATTTGAAAAATCGCAACGAAATGAAATTTTTTTTAACCAAGAGCATAAAAATTAAAATACAAAATATTTTATTTTAAATCAAAAATAATCATTAAAAATTATTTTTATTTTTTGTGAATATTACAAAAATTAAACATTTTAAAATCTTTAAACAAATGGATAGATTGAGCAAAGACGACCATTATGGTGTTTATTCTTTTTTTTTGAATGTCTATTTCAAGTGATTGAGTTTTGATTAAAAAAAACCTGAGTTATCAATATTTGCTGACCCTAATTTAAATAGTATCACAAGTATATCATTTTAATTTTTGTAATTGAATTAAGATTTAATTATGTTAATGTTCTGTTTTTAGTTGACTTCGGTGGAATTGGTGCGCGCATACATCGAACGCATCGAAGTTGTGAATAAACATTTGAATGCCGTGGTGGAATCTCGTTATTCGGCTGCTTTAGAGGAAGCTACCGAAACCGATGACCTAATAGCCAGCTGCGGATCCACAGCGGATGTGGAGAAACTCTTTGAAGAGCGTCCACTGCTGGGACTTCCCGTGACCATCAAGGAATCATGTGCCCTCGAGGGCATGACCTTTGCCGTGGGCAGTCTGTCCCGAAAGAGTACCAAAGCCCAAGCCGATGGTGAAGCAGTGGAGCGATTGAAATCAGCTGGGGCCATTCCTCTACTGATTTCGGCCACTCCGGAATATTGCTTTAGCATCGAGACGGACACCTTGTTGAATGGCCGATGCCTGAATCCCTATGATTTTGAGAGGACTCCGGGCGGAAGTTCTGGTGGAGAGGTATGTGTTTTCTGTTCCAAAATTTCACAAACATATTTCAAAATTTGAATTTGAAAAGGTAAAAAATGGAAATGATTTTTGTAAATGTCTGTTCTTCATTTATTACGACTATGTTCCCAAATTCACCTTTAGTTTATGATTAAATATATATTTTTTTAATAATTTTAGGGTTCTTTAAATGGAGCTGGCGCTTCTCTTTTTGGAATTGGCTCAGATATTGGAGGATCCGTTCGCATTCCCAGCTTGTATTGCGGCATCTTCGGACATAAACCAAGTGGAGGAGTGGTTACCGTGAAGGGACACTTTCCCAACTCCAAGGACCCGAACTTCGAACACTATCTGGTGGAGGGGCCCATGACTCGGTTTGCTGGTGACCTTTCCGAATTACTCCAAATAATGGCGGGAAAGGAAAATTCTGCCAAATTGCGATTGAGGGAACCCGTTCAACTGAATCAGATTAAGGTGCAGTATGCGCTGGGCTTCGAGGGAATCAATGGATGGATGCATCAGTCGGTGGATAAGGATATACGAGATGCGATTTGCAGAGCAACGACTCATTTAAAGACCCTCGGCTTGGAGGTGAATAAGGCTAAACTACCCAATCTCAAGAATTCAATGGAGATGGCTTTATCTGGAATCGCCGCCCAGGATTTAATGGATTATCTATTGGAAGACGACGGTTCGTGCAAAGTCGGTGAGACTCTTTGGGAGATTGTAAAAAGTATAGGAGGTCATTCGAAGTATACAACCAACGGCCTGACATTTGAACTCACGCGTCGCAGCGGCGCCTTTATGTCGCAATCAAAGATGAATCTGTATCTGGAGGAAACACGGCGATTGATCGGCGAGTTTGCAGTAAGTGAGCAATTATCTAGCACGCAAACTCTGTGTAGTTCTATATGTAGTATATATTGGTTAAAAAAAACTATATTGACCTTTGTAGCTTATTTTGTTGCTATAAAGCTGTCAAGGGCCGTTAAACAAGTTTTAATGATAGTTAAACTTATTTTCTAAAGCACATTTTATTGGCTAACATATATTTGCTAATTGCTTTAGAAACATACTGGTAAATTGATAACAATAACTAATTTTGTAACTTAATTTGAACGTTTCACTGATTTAACAGTATAGGTTATGGATACAAAACTATTTTTAAAGCTGACGTAATCGAGTTACTGATACAATTATTTATATATTTTCTCTGTGCAGAATTTACTTGGCGACAATGGAGTGCTGCTCTTTCCCACGTTGAATTTACCTGCGCCGAGACACAAGTGGTCATTTTTATCATTATGGGGCATCGACTATACCCTGATGTTCAACGTACTCGGTCTGCCCGTCACCCATGTGCCAATGGGTCTAAATGAACGGGGACTTCCCGTAGGACTTTCCGTGATTGGGGCTCCAAACCAGGATAGATTGTGCCTTCGCGTGGCCGTGGAATTGGAGAGGGCGTTCGGCGGATGGAAACCCCCAGTGCCGAATGATCTTGACAACTAGTCATATCGACATATGAAATATATTAAAAACTTGACAATATGCAAACAAAAACTACTAAAAAAATATGTATTTACAAACACATTTGACTTTATGTAAACTGTTATAATTTACGACAAATAAATATTGTTGGTGAATTTGTATCCAAGTTGTTTAAAATGCTTAAGCTAATTCAGAATATTGTTACCTTTTACGGTTTTACAGGGTATCAATTATTAAAAACTAACTGGCGCCACCTTTCGGAAAATGGTTTGAGTCCAGAATATATGTTACTTTAACAGATCAATTATAGCCCGAACAGAAATTAACATACTAACAGTGGCTGAGAGAGAGCTTGGGTGAGAGTGCGCCTGCGGCCAGCTCGCAAGCAAAATCGTTTCCTGCAGATCTGGCCACACTATTGCACTTCTTTATCAAAGTCGGTTATCACATTTGTTTTGCCCGTTCATTCGTCTTTTGAAATTCGCTTCGAACGGTTGTCAGTCTCTGGACTTTTGTACAACCAGTTCGAGCCAAAAACTTAACTCCGCGCGAAAAGCATAGGAAATACATCGCTAGGAAATATTAAAGAACATTGATACTTGGATATAAAAACATTTTTCACCCAAAAACTTGACTTATGCTTAAGTGAAGAAGCAGAACCTGAGGATTCTACTAATTGGACAATAAACAGTTAAGTCACCATAAAATCTACAACCCGCGCGTTTTCTGGTTAATGAATTAAAAGAAAAAAGTGTGCGTGTGCTACAAGTGGATATAAAACTCGATTTCTGGGCCCCCGATTTTTTGGTTGCAACACACACATTGTAACGGGAAGTGGCTCAACAAGTGGCTCGGGGATTATCTAATAAAACCCCTACTACCGAAAATCATACAAATCATATAGATTAAACGGGGCAGCAGCAACAACAAAATAAATATATCAATTTTAAAACAACCAAAGACCCAATGTGTGTGTAAGTTAGTGCCTGCATATGTATGTGTGTGAGTCGAGAAACGCAGAACAGCAGCAACAACAATAACAAGAGCGACTACAACAACGCTACAACGGCAACGTCGACAGCACGCAACAACAACAGCAACAACGGCGGCTGTGAGTGCGACGGAGACGGCAACAGCGTGAGTCATTTAAGTGAAATGAAAATGCGGATAAAGCGAGAAGCGCCGTGTCTTCTGTTATTTATGCCAATCCAAAATACCAACAACAACAATCGTATTGGTGGTGAGTACAACAAAATATTACAAAGCAATAAGAAAATCGTACAATTTAAGATTACACTTAAACCAATCAAGTATGAGAGCGGGCGGAGAGAGCGAATTAATCGCTCTCTCTTGATTTTTACCGCTTGGCATGCTGTTTACTTTTGCAGGGGCGCGAAAGAGAGGGGGCGAACACACGTAAGCGTCTCCATTTCATTTCTACAACAGAAATAAGCAACAAAAAAAGAAACGAACTCGAGAGAGATCAGAGTTACTTTTTTTCGCTCCATACGTGACTCACAATTCGCGTGTCTTTCAAAAATAAAAGCAAAAGAAGCGTTTCGATTCGTTTCTGTTCGCTGGTTAAATAAAGCAAAAAAAAAATCCAACAAAATACAAGTACAAATAAAAAAATCACCAGAAAAATGTAAAGCAAAGCAGGTTTCTCAAGCGGCCTGGCAACGCTGAAAAACCCGCTTTGAAACGACCTTTCGAGTACGAATTCATCGGCACAGCAACAACACACTCTACCAGCTACAACAACAACAGTATGAGGAAAAGGGGAGCAGAAGGGGAAAAAGCAACAGCCGCAGCAGCAACAACTTGGAATTGAAGTTGGGAGCCAACGATTGAGAGGAAGAGCAGGAAGAGAGAGTTGCAGGGGCCCAGTGGCGGAGCGAAAAGTGGGCATGGCAGTGCTGCAAAGGGTTTCTAGAACCCCTTTGAAATAGCCAAAAGTTAGACCTTTAAATTTGCAATATAAGTTTTTCATCAAAGATCTTAATATCAAGACTAGGAGTTGCTATCAGCTAATTTCAGTAAGGTCTCTTAAATTTCTGAAATAGAACATCATAGAGCCCAAAATCTTAAAATAAATACTATAAATATGATCCTAACGACCAAAATAGAAATGTAATCAGCTTGTAATGCCGAAAGATACTTATGTACATCGAAATAGCCCATTAATAGACTAAGTTTTCTCATTCTTCTACGAGTTGAAACAAAGTGAAACGTTTTATATATTTTTGTACATGAAATTGTATTATTGCACACACAAATGTTATTGCAAAAAGTCACACTAAACAAAGATTTCTAACTCTGTTGGCAAATAAATAATAACAAATAATAATTAAACATGTTTACGAATAATTGATAATACAAAAAACAAAATATTCCTAAAAGGCTAGAATGAATCAGGCTTTTTAAAGTAATTGAACCTTAAAATTATAAAAAATCTTCAACCCAAAAGTTGATCAAAATAGAAAACAGAAATATAGCTAATAACTGGTTTTTATAAGTAAACAAGCGACTGCATACTAATTAGCACTTTTCTTTTTTCTTCTACCTTCATCTCTTTGCCACCGCTAGCCCCCTTTGAAACCCACACACTCCAGACCCCAGACGCCCCTGGGGGCTTGCAATGCACTATTGGCATGCGATTTTACTTGTTTTACTAGCCGCAAACAACAACAGCGAAAAAAAACCGAACCAACGTTTCCTGCCGCGGTGAAAAGTTGCTTGTAATTTTTTGTAGCTGTTGCTTTTTCTGTGTTATTTTTTTTTTAGGCTTTTGGGGTCGCTTGGCTGATAACAGCAATTTTGTACGCCAGAAGTTTACTCTAAGTAGTTCGTGAATAAAAAAAGACACTATGCTTATGCGGTTTACAGCTGATAAAGCCAAGTCAGGACAGTTCAACATAATAAGACCCCTTTGAAAAAATAATACAAACTGTAGCATTCATATCTTATCGCATTTTAGCTAATTAAGTTTGAAATTAGTAAAGGAAATGACGTAAAATCAAGGCATAGTTCAATCATTTGTCAATTGTATTCAGTATTATTAAAAAGTGGATATGGTCACTAAAAGAATAACTCTTCTAATTCGGTAGAGTTTAAAACTCATATCAAAAAGGCATATTATTTTGTTTAGCTAAATCCGAGTTCGTGTGACCTCAGAATACTTCATTATCACACGAAATAAATTTCTGCTGCTGCTATCGGCAGCATTTGTTTAATTTTTTTTCAGAGTAGCTTGTGTTTTATCAAATCGGTATCTGGCGCGCTTGCAAAACGTTTTCTAATTATGCCTGCTCATTGTGATAAGCGACTTGTGAGCTTCAAGCGAATGTGGAAAACTTTAGCTTGGCATTCTCCCTACCGTAATCAGCCAAACTCTGTAGAGCCGAAATAAATGTCTTACGTCAGTTTTGGCAGGCGGCAAATCGAAACGAAATATTTTTGCGGTTTATTTGAACATGGGACCTGGTGCGACAAGTTTTTTTTTTTTTTTTTTGCACTGTGGTCCACACAAACAGACCGTGCTGACATCATTGGTTATAAAATTAAGCAAATCGCTAACCGACAATTATAATCAGCGTTTAAACCGCCTTGTTAATGCGTATTTTCGGCTTTCTGTTTTTCTCCACAGCCAATCAGAAGGACTATCCCAACAAGCGGTCCAGGGAGAATCTGGCATGTGACGAGGTGACATCGACGACGTCATCTTCCACGGCAATGAACGGCGGCGGACGGACGCCGGCGCTAACCCGCAGCTGCTCCAGTCCGGCGGTCTACGGTGAGTGAAAGCTGCGAAATGGGGAACCCACCGAAAACTATGCGACCCAAAGACGGGTTTGCAAAAATCTGTGACTCAGTTAGAAATGCTTTGGTATACTGGACAAGTTTATGAAAATCAGCTGCTTAGGCCTGGGCAGCCTATAATTGCATTGTTATTAATTTTGGTATCTAGTTAGAACATTGTATGTTGAAAATTTTGAATTTTTACAAAAACTGAACTTAACAGATAGATGCAGAGTTTCATTATTGTGTCAAGAAACTTTCTGAACACAGATCTCTTAGGAAATAGTGATACATTATTATGCGTAGTCCGTCAATTATGATGAGCGGAAATGTTAATTTAATTGAACATTATTGTGTTGATTCACAGAAGCTTGCATACCAAAGTAAAACACATTCACTTGCACAGTACCAAAGTTACAGACGCTTCTAATCAAGAGCGGAACTTAAGAGCACTATATCTTTTCCCGATCGAGCAGCAATCTCTCGATTGTTCTGCTGTTGCATATTTGCGTTTGTACTGCTGTTTGTTGTTTGTTGTGTGCTTATCATTGCATTTCATTTCCTACTCGGCCTAAGTTCCCCACCCCTCCATTCCGTTTTCCCCCACCCGTTTTGATAGTACTACATGACGATAAATTGTCTCAGATTGTCATACAATCTTTCCGTCATTTATCCCCCTCTCTTTCCCACACTTGTGAGCTCTGCTTTAACATTAAAAACAAACTGTTTTGTTTTTGCTTTGGCACGTGCTGTGAAATAAATCGCTCGCTTAATACACCCCTCTCGCTCGCACCTTTAACTCGTATTTTTTCACGTTACGAAATCGAGCGTACGTATACGTACGTACATATGTATGAAAAGTATGCGAAAAGCAACAAAACACATGCAAAACAATATAATAACAAAGTCAGCTACAGAGGTAGCAACAACAAAGACTGTGATACAGTGAAATTTTCAATGTCAAACTTTTGGATATTACTCATTTACTTACTCACTTTGGGAATCATACTTAATCTCGGGCTTGAGTGGGGTAACCCTCGATCTATCTACCCCCATCCCTTTTTTTTGCATTCACCTTTTCACCTGACAAAGGTGTGATCACATTGTGATGTTTCCTTGGTATTCAGTTTATTCTATATTACGCACATCTAGTCGAGTATTAGTAATGCATCAGCATTCTAAAAATTGCTTTTAATCTCAACTAATCAGGTACTAAAAATAAATTCATATTATAACATTTTCTGTCAATGAAATTATAATGCAATGTAGACCACAATAACTAAGTTAGTGGTGACATTAATAATTCCATGAAAATCGATCTGCTTAAAATGATGAACAACTATTACATATTTACCATAAATAAACATGGAGCAATCATTGGTAAATAGAAACTGTAGTTTTTGCAAGCAAATGAATAAGCAAATATACTGTAATGATTCACAGTACGTCATAAAAATTAGTAATAAGTTTAATGCCACAAGAAAGGAAACTCCCAAAAAAAATTATTTTATAGCAAATTGAAAATACCTTTGAGGTTCGTAATTAGCGATCGATTACTGTGCGGTGCTTTATCAGGGGATTGCAGTGTTTGTTACTAGACAACAGCGATTCCTGTTTACCAAAATGCCAAATGAGTCACTGTGGAAATATTTAGGAAATCCGTTAATTGCATTCTTAATACACGACTATGTCTATTTGTAGTACTATCAGTAGGGGCTGGCGTAAATGCCACACTGACAATCATCTTTTACGTGTAAAGTTCCAACGTGCTGTTGTGATGACTAATGCAAGTGATTTCCGTGTGACCCACAAAGTGCAGTCAGCCCAAAAAATAAATATAAATGAAATACACGAAGTTGAGTTGCCATGGCTCTGAGTGCTATCAATTAACACGCAACCCAATGACAAATAATCGATGAACCGCAGGGTGGAGGGAGTTCTCGGGGTTGGGTCTCTATGGCCAAAACCGCAGGGCATATGCTGGGCCCTGGGACCGCACTTCAATCTAAACATTACACTCGGGAAAATGAGTTTTGAAAATTATTGCTGATCTTTTGACCAAATCAAAAGGATATGTTTATCCAAAAGTTAGATTTCCAAATTTGCATTCAATAAGTTTGAGGAACATATAACAATTAAAGAGTGGTTTTATTTTGAAGTCTTTAATTTGGATGGCATTAGTTGCCCAAGACAAAGGTTAGTTTTTCGGAGTGTAGTTAGACGGTGCACAATTATAGATACACATAGAGAGGGAAGAAAAAACAATTGCGCGGCTCATTGAGAGTGCTACGAACTCGGGGACGGCCATGAGGCAATGTGAAGCCACCCCTCGGCCCGCTGACCGCCCTCCCCCTCCCCTTCCCCTTGCCGCTCCCCCACCTTCGAATTCGCCCACTGCCAATAAAACTGAACCCAACTGAACTGAGACTATGCCTCTGTGTGTGGCATGACTCATGCAACAGCAACAGCAACGGAGGCCCCAGCAGACGAATCCAATCGAAACGAAAACTGTTCAGATGAGGTGGAAGAAGGGGGAGAAAAAATAAACAATTTGTTGTAGCAAAATTTAGACGTTGTATACAACAATAGATACAGAAAACAGGGCCAGGCCATCACTATACCCATACCCATCCCCATCCCCATCGCCATCGCCATCGCCAGCCCCATAACAATGATCATTTGCCAGACTCTTTTGTTGCATGACATCGCGAATTGGCAAACTTCCATCGCGATATAGACTGAGAGATCCCCCGACAATGGGCACTTTTTGTACGACTTTTGGGGCAGCAAGAACTTTTCCATTATTTACTCATAAAAACTAATGATCCGATCTCCGCATGTATCTTGCAGATATAGAAACACATCCCGCCTCGCCCGTGTTCCCGCATCTATTGCTGGGCAATGGCCGCGATGCCAACGATCCCAGCAGCGTGGGCGCCAACTGTGTGCTGAATGTTACCTGCCAAAGTCCCAATGAGAGCCATCTGCAGGGCCTCAAGTACATGCAAATACCTGCCAGCGATACGCCCCATCAGAACATTAAACAGTACTTCCAGGAGGCCTACGACTTCATCGGTGAGTTTCCCTAGAATATAAGCCATATAAATCATCGCATCACTACCGTTTGATCTCAAATCCTTTTGATTTGAAATATTAGGATCGTTAAATATTAATGCTATGCCTTTTAACCAAATATCATTAGTGTTGATTGAGTTAGTGGTACCTACATTATATTATCTACATTATATTATCACAATATAAAGCTATTAAGCACGAGATAAGAACCTGTTTCTCTATAAAATAGATGACCAAATGATATCTTTCTTCCGTCTAGCAGAAAAATGCGACTAGATTATGGTGAAATTTTCAAAATATTTGCTGTTGATTTAGCTGACTATATTATCTTGTTTTCATTTGGAAAAACAATGTGAAATTCTGAGAAAGCTTGAGCTCCCCAAATCCAGTCTGAGAATCCGAGTTACGCTTAGTCATCATCTTTGGTAATTTGCTATTGGCAATTGCTAAACGTGACTTGTTATTGGATGCCTGGCGGGCTTTTTCAGCGGTCAGCGGGCTTATTTGTGGATTTTGCATAACGGTTTTAGTCTGGCTTCCACTTCCCTTTCTTCTTGGCTGGCTGGAAAATTCGTTATTGACTTTTTTGTTTGCCCCTTTTTTTGGCTTTTTGTGTGCTCTTGGCGTTTTGTGCTGCCTTCAGCGCTTTTCCCACACAAACAAGCACACTATACTTTTGTTAATTTTAAATGAAAATAATAAAATGTACCCAAACCGAAAAGGGGAACGAGGCGTGCGGAAAGAACTTTAGCCGTGGAATATAATGCTGACGTCAATCGCATTTTTCCATTTTCTATGTCCAAAGCGGTTCATCAAGTATTTTTGTTTTGCATTTTTTTTTTTTTATATGTATTTTTTTTTTGTTTCCAAGCTAATGTCTTGGCACGTGTGCACGAGCTTTGTCGTTCTTATTGCTGCTTTTGTTTCCCGGTATTATTACTATTTTTGTAGCGTCTCTTATTTAAGTAGTGCAAATATTTCATTTAAAACAAGCGCGAGAAAAACCGAGTGGGTGGTACGACCGACGGCCTCCAAACTAGGTGTCTCAAAAAGTGCTATTATAGTTCTACACAAAAGTGACTTGTATTGGATTTGGTATTCAGAAAATATGCCTTGTTTGATTGCTTGTGACTTTATTAGAATATTTGAAGGAACTTCTTGAAATAAATTTTTACAAATTCAAATAAAAATTCCCAACTCAAATTTAAAAACATTGATATTCATAAATTAAATAAGAATTTTATAATATAGTTACATATGTATATGTACCTTTCTTCTAGTTGTGATAAAAAATCACCAATATGAAGTTCCGAGAACAAGTTGTGTAGGACAAAATAATAAATAAGAAAAAAATAAATAAAATTACCGATTCCTAGAACAAAATATTTTTCATTTAACTGGCATTAAATGTAATCATATTTTACTAACGATAACAATGGGATTCTTGGAACATAGATGACCAGTACTCTACCTAAATTTGCAAATTAAACTGTCAAAATCTTTTCGTTATTGTAAATATGGTAACAATTTTGACTTGATTCGAGCCAATACCAACATCTTATAAGAGGCCTAATATATAATTTTATGTTATAGTTAGGATAATGAAAGATTAGGTTTCTAAAACAGTAAATAGTACTATATTTTAAAACGAAGCTCAAATCAAAGTTCCCCACACTGTCGAGTCTATCGTGCTCCCTCGCGCTCATAGAAATGATTAGGGTGTGTGGATAAGGAGCAATGCTCCTTCCCCCTCCTTGGGTTGGTGTTTTTGCTGCTCCTACGCTTATCCATTCGCTCTCCACTTTGCCTCCTTCGTTCCTTCTTTCTCCTTCTTCTTCTTTCGTCGCCCCATTGTTGTTGCTGTTGCGTGTTGGCGTTGGCAGACAGCATGGCGGCATTTGCGTCGTCGTCTAGTTGTTGTTGCTGTTGCCTGCCTCTTTGTGTCGTTACTGTGTTGCGACTTTGGCCACACTGAAAAACATAATTGAAGGATAAAGGATTTGATAAGATTCGTGATTTTTTTTTTAATTTTATTAATATCAAAAGTTGTAACTTTGAAAGTAAATTAATTTTAACTTATGGCATTTTGAAGTACCATTGTTTTATCTCTAATCTTATTTTTTAATCCCTTTTTTAATTGATAAAATTCTTTTGTTTTAGAAATTTATTACATATTTCAAAATTAAGAAAATTGGTTTGGAAATTAAAGTTATGAAAAGGTGGAGATCAGGCTTATCACAAAAGAAAGCTCTGTTAAGTTTGACAGTAGAAATGAAAACTGCCACTAAAGTAATATTTTTGCTTAGTGCAGACAAGTTTTCTCGGGTAATGGAAATTTTATGCAGATTGCCGTCGTACCAGCAATAGCAGCAACAACAGGAGCAACAAGACTAACCAACCGCAAACGTCCTTTCTGATAAGGGTTGTCCTCGAATCGCTTCCTGCGCTGCCCGGCTGTTAATGTATTTTTGGCCACTACTGTTCGCTGGCATGACTCATCGTCATTTCGTTTTGTTGTTCGTTCACAATGCAATGTGGAACACTGAGAGAGCGAGACGGCCAGAGAGTGGGTGGTGGGTGGGCTGGTGTACCATAGTACAGCCGCATCGATTTTTCTGTTGGCTTCTTATTGTTGCTATTTATTGCGCCGCCAACGGCACTTTTCACCCCTCTCTCTCTCTCGCTCTTTCGTTGTGGCATATGTTCTATTTTTGTAAACATTTTGGTTCCTGTTTATGAGTCATCGTTTCGTTTTTTTTTTAGTGGGTTATCCTTGTGCAAGTGGCCTCGACTGTTGGTGTTCGTTTTGTTGTTGCGGATGTCAGGTGGGGGAGTAGCAACAGCTGCTTAGTCTCTCCCTTTCTCTTGCTCTTCCCTCTCTACGTTTATTTTGCATCTGTCAGATCAAAATTCTCGATACGTTCCACTTTTTAACAGTACACAGAAAGAAAACTTAGTATAATATGGCAACTACTTAAATTAATAAGCTAAAGAAATATAAAAACTTACAACGATGGTATTTAATATCGAACTGGTCTATATGATTAAGCCAATTCAATCTTAATGCCCACACCACAATTTGATTTCAATATTTTGTGTGCACTACCATTTATTTTTCTTTACCTCACTTTTTTTTTATCCATGCTCAAGTATTATTTTTATAAATGCTCTGGCTCCCTCCCTCACACTCTCTCTCTCACTCACTCCCGCGCAAAAACACATTAGTACTCAGGCACGAAGTAACAGTGGGTGGGGGGCTGGGGAGAAGAAGCAGGAGGAGGTGGCGGCAAAGAAGAAGCAGGGAAAAGTATATGTATTTGTACTGAGTGCATGAGTCATGATTTCGCTTCTCTGTTTGAGTGTGTTTGCCCCTGCCTTTTGCGCATTCGTTTTTGGTTTGCCGTCGTCACCTTATGCCTATTATTATTGTTTTATTTCGCCTGGGTATATGCTTCCTCTTATTTCGTACAACTTATGATTTCTCATTGTTGCGTTGCTTTTCGTTTTCCATTCATTATAACAGCACTTTGTGTAAGGGCAGGGGAGGGATTGTGGGAGGGGTAGGAAGCACCGCTATTTGAAGCACAGCTTGAAATGAGCTCAACGTTCGAGGCCCCATATTTGTTGTTGTTGGTGTTGTAGTAGTGGTAGGCGCTGGATAATGCTAATGTCATTATGCTTTGTCATTAACATGAATGATAAACTACGCCAAACCACTTGGCCTAGAAAGCAATCAAAGCTTCAATTGTCAGGAAATGGAACGGTATCATGATATTTGGGTAGCATATTCGGTCTAGTACTTGTAATCGCAATTTGGACATTACAAGGACTTTATATTTGGGTACTCTAAAGATCCCATGACTTGACTAAAAACTGTCCTCAAAAAAAAAATAGAATATGGATCGCACAAATTAAAAATTGACATTAATATACATATATCAACCAATAGGACTTATAAAAAGTTATTAGATTAAGAATAATATAATTTATTAATATAACAGGTTAAAAAACGTTTTCAAAAAAAGTCAAATTTTAATAAATTAAAAAAAAATAAGGCCAAGAATACAAGCAGCTTTGATAAACAAACGCAAAAGAGGAAATTTTTGAATTCGTAGTGTAATTAGCATAGTTGCTCCCTAGAAGAGTTTTTACAATGCTATTCCATCTACGTAACCCTTACCACATCCTTCCTTATCTGCTGCGAGGCCTAATCAATTTGTCAAGTTATCGCCACGATGTCTGTACTGACTGTACCCGCATATTATTTGTGCGCCAAGTAATCAAGCCATCAACTTTTATCTGCCAACGACGATGGAGGCCTCTTTGGCAAACTAACTTAATCTACAACGGAGCATATATACGGTTACGGTTTACGTTTACGGGGACACTTACGGGTACGAGTACGGGTTGTGCACACACCGTCGCAGAAGCAGCTAAGTAAACTGGAAACGGAGGCCCCTTGAGAACATTTGGTGATAGGCCACATTATATATACAAACATACTGTTGGACAGCTGATTAGATAAAACTATGAATGCATGCATATGTACAAAATATATATCAACAATTGCGGTTGAAAAAGAAGAAGGTTACCATAATTTTAAAATAAATTGGTGACTTATAAGTTTGAAATATAAAAAAAACCTATTTTTTGTAAAACAAATTGTATTTTTAAAGTTTTAAAAAACCCCAATTTTTTTTATTTCGAGCGCAGCTGAAACAGACTGATAAATAAGAAGTATACGTTCAAAAGAGATAACTTGAAAAATCCTGTCTAATGAGTAATCGAAAATCCGTTGGCAGACCACAAACAAAAAGAAAATAACAGAAACAACAAAAATCCCGAGGTGACATTTTTGTTGGCCCCGTGCACATAATTTCAATATTCGTCAGCCGGCTATTTATAAAATGCAAAAATCAACGAAGCAAAATAAACTGAAAATCTTCGCACAGGAATTTCGAATTTGAAATTTTTGCGTTGCGACTTCGCTTTCTTATTGT